AAAAAAAAAAAAAATTCTGCCTACGCCTCTTGCTATACGTTATATCATCATAATAAAGACTATGCACCAATGTTATGCTAACAAAAAACTGAAATTTAAATACATTTGCGGAAAGCAAAAATAATTAAATAAATAAATAATAATAATAAGAAAAACATGAAACACACACTGAGAAAGTTGATAGGAGAAGAAATTACCATGACTGAGGAGAAACGAGAGCTGATTGGAAGAAAGACATTTTGTAGCAATGAGAAAGTGTGAGAATCGTCTATGGGCTTCTCTGATTCGAGAACAGCTATTACAGCTACTGATATCACTGAGCTTGTGAAGTATTGCCCAGTTGGGCTCACAGGTTCATCCACCTCCATTAGATTATTCACCCCTCCCAAATGCCAATCAATCCCCACCGTTGATTTTTATTTTGTGTGTGTGTGTGTGTGTGTGTGTGTGTGTGTGTGTTTTGGCTGTATGTGTTTTGATTTTTGAAACTCAACAATGTTGTTGTCAGTGAGGCCAATCGTAGTGCTTATATAGATAAGAGTACTGCATAAATACAGTCAGTTTTTCTATTTTTATTTTTTTAATTTATTTATTTGTTTATTTATTTATTTATTTTTTTTGTATAAAGAGATTAGAGAAGTTAATATTAGGAGGATTGGTGAGATAAGAAAGGGTGGGTGGAATTTATTTATTGTAGACCTTGGCTGTGTTAAATCCTTGTGCAGTAGGGCCCATCGTAATTTATTGCTCTTTCCTATATTTTGTTATGACTGTGTAATTTTGTATGACTAAATTCATCTACTGTGAATTATATATATATATAAATTCCGGATCTCCGAAGTTTGGTACGGTTATGAAAATTTATCAATCTCCGAACCGTACCGACCCACGCCCACCCTTAGTTTGTATGACTAAATTCATCTACTGTGAATAATATATATATAAATTCCTAGCAAAGTATTTAATAAAATTATTTTTATTTTTTGCTTTTTTTCCATTACAATCCTATATTTTTATTATTATTTATCATTTTTTTTTATATCAATCCAGCTTATCTCATTAATGTTAAAATATTTTCTTTCTTGCTCTTTTTTTTTAAGATTAATTAAGATAAACTCGTTATATGATATATTAATTAATTGGGGAATAACTATATTTTTTTTATTCTATTATATAATATTATTAAAACTATTACATTTTTTATTCTATCATATAATAATTATTATTAAAACTAACTAATTATGTTTATAATTAATATTATATGAAAGTTACATAAACATAAAAAATTATGGTCTAAAACTTTTTGTTCAAGTTATTTATTTTAAAATCAACACAGTAAGCTTTCAACAATACAAAAATTACATTATTTCATATCTCAAAATTACACAAAAAAAAAAAAAAAAA